AAGGAGCAGGATCTCCATGGGATGAAATTTTTACCCCATCTCTGCTCCATCTTTCCCTGATATCCAAAGATCTCCTGCCCCAAAGGAGGAGGGATCTCCATGGGATGAAACTTTTACCCCATCTCTGTTCTCTCTTTCCCTGGTATCCAAGGATCTCCTGCCCCAACAGAGCAGGATCTCCACGAGATGACATTTTTACCCCATTTCTGCTCCCTCTTTCCCTGATATCCAAAATCTCCTGTCTCCATGGAGTGGGATCTCCATGGGATGAAATTTTTACCCCATTTCTGCTCTCTTGTTCCCTGCTGTCCAAGGATCTCCTGCCCTGATGGAGCAGGATCTCCATGGGATGAAATTTTTACCCCATCTCTGCTCCCTCTTTCCCTGGTATCCAAAGATCTCCTGCCCCCATGGATTGGGATCTCCATGGGATGAAATTTTTACCGCATTTCTGCTCCCTCTTTCCCGAGGACCTCCTGCCCTGATATAGCAGGAACTCCATGGGATGAAATTTTTACCCCATCTCTGCTCCCTCTTTCCCCGCTGCTCCTGCCTGAATGGAGCAGAATCTCCAAGCATTTCTACCCCATCTCTGCCCCCCTTTCCCTGCCACTCCCAGAGCTCCTTCCCCAACAGATCAGGGCATCCATGGGGTGACAGCAGCATTTCCAAGACCCCTTTTTATCTCAGATTGGGATTTCTGGGAGCCCTGTCAGGATTCACCCCCAGGACGAGGTGGGGACCCCCAGCCCCTGTGTGTGAGCTCTCCCTGGGCCAGGCTGGCTCTGCTCCCAGGCTCCAGACAAAAGCTCCATTCAGGGAAGCTCCCAGAGGCTGCTCCTGCCTTTGAGGTTTGCACAGGACTCTGCAAAGAAACCTCTGTTATCCTAACAGGGGGAAGAGATTCCAGAGCTGAACACTGAAGCCTTGGTGTGCCTGGAAATGGGGAGTAAATGGTGGCTGGGCTGCACTCCTGCAGCTCCAATTAATTAAAAAAATTAATATAAATGTAAGGAATAAATGCAGGAATTAATATCAATATAAGGAATCAATGTAAATGCCTTTCAGGTTTGCACAGGACTCTGCAAAGAAACCTCTGTTATCCTAACAGGGGGAAGAGATTCCAGAGCTGAACACTGAAGCCTTGGTGTGCCTGGAAATGGGGAGTAAATGGTGGCTGGGCTGCACTCCTGCAGCTCAAATTAATTAAAAAAATTAATATAAATGTAAGGAATAAATGTAGGAATTAATATAAATATAAGGAATCAACGTAAATCTATAGGGGTGAGAGGTGCTGTTGGTTTTTGTACAGAAAGGAGAGCCCCAGCTCCACCTTGGATCAATCCCTGAGCCCATTCCTGGGATCTCCCCTGAATGGCACCTTTGTGCTGCCCAAGGAATGAATTCCAAAGGGTTCCTTGTTCCCAAAATTCCCACATCCCCCCTGCTCCGCTCCCCTGCCCTCACAAACCCATGGGGACCCCAGGGGGGTTTAGGAAGGAGTTGTCCCCCAATTTGCAACAGGCAGCTCAGGAACCACATGGAAAAATTCCCCAAAACCTCTAAAATCTGATTTTTTTTTTTTTTTTTGCAGCTATAAGACAAGGAACCACATGGAAAAATCCCCCAAAACCTCTAAAATCTGATAATTTTTTGCAGCTATAACACAAGGAACCACATGGAAAAATCCCCCAAAACCTCTAAAATCTGATAATTTTTTGCAGCTATAACACAAGGAACCACATGGAAAAATTCCCCAAAACCTCTAAAATCTGATTTTTTTGCAGCTATAAGACAAGGAGAGTTTTGCTAGGTGAAATCCCACTCCCTGCCCCTCTGCAGGGCTCGCCTTCCCTTTTTCCAGATCCATTTTCTCCTGCCCTTGGGTGAGCCTGGAGAGTCCATGGGACCCCCAACATCCCCATGGAGCCCTGAGACCACCCCAAGAGTGTCAGAGACCCCCCAGCCCTGCTCAGAACGGATTTGCAGCACATCCCAGGAAAGCAGGAGCAGAAAAAATAACCAGTAGGGAAGACAGAGCCCCCCACTGCTGCTCCAGGGGGGAAAATCAAACTAAAATGGTTTAGCAAAGTTAATTTAAAGTCTGCACGGAGAGATCTCCGGGGCTGTGGCTCTTTCTACCTTCACAGGAGGGCATTGCTGAGAAAAACAAGGGAAAAGCGCTGGGGGAATAAACCCAAAGGGCTCAGCACTGCGAGGGAGCGGAGATGGGGAATGTCCCCCCTGCAATCTCATCTTCATCCCCTTCTCCATCCCCTTCTCCATCCCCTTCTTCATCCTCTTCTCCATCCCATCTCCATCCCATCTCCAGCCCGGGAATGGAGCGCGGCACTTACGAGCTGGGCCAGGCAGAGGCAGGAGGCTTGGAGCAGGAGCCAGAGCTGCGACACCAGCGTGGTGGCACGGGCCATGGCAGCGGGGCTGGCACCGAGCGCGGCGGGCACCGAGCGCCGGCTCGCAGCGCTCCGGGACACCGGGAGGGCCGGGCGAGGAGGAGGAGGAGGAGGAGGAGGAGGAGGAGGAAGGAGCTCATGAATATGGAGCAGCGGGATGAGGGCAGGTCCCGCCCCTCTCAGGTGAGCCCGTGGCGATTCTGGGCTGGATGGGGACAGGATTTGGGACGGTGGTGACAGAGTTTGGCATAGTTGGGACAGGATTTGGCAGGATGGGGACAGAGTTTGGCACGATGGTGACAGGATTTGGCATGATGAGGACAGGAATTGGCACGCTGGGGACAGAGTTTGGCACGATAGGGACAGGGTTTGGCACAATAGGGACAGGAATTGGCAAAATGGGGACAGAGTTTGGCACGATGGGGACAGTTTGGCATGGTGGTAACAGAGTTTGGCATGGTGGTGACAGAATTTGGCACGATGGGGACAGAATTTGGCATGATGGGGACAGGGATTGGCAAAATGGGAACAGGAATTGGCACGATAGGAACAGGTTTTGGCACGGTGGTGACAGAGTTTGACATGATGGGGACAGGAATTGGCAAAATGGGGTCAGATTTTGGCACGATGATGACAATTTGGCATGATGGGGACAAGATTTGGCACGATGGGGACAGGGATTGGCAAAATGGGGACAGAATTTGGCAGGATGGGGACGGGATTTGGCACGGTGGTGACAGAGTTTGGCACGATGGGGACAGAGTTTGGCATGGTGGTGACAGTTTGGCACAATGGGGACAAGATTTGGCACGATGGGGATGGGATTTGGCACGATAGGGACAGAGTTTGGCAAGGTGGGGACAGCATTTGGCACTATGGAGCCAGAATTTGGCCCAATGGTGGCAGAATTTGGTACAATGGTGACAAAGTTTGGCACGATGATGACATAATTTGGCAGGATGGGGACAGACTTTGGCACAGACAAGGGGTAGGGACAGGACGGGGATGAACTCAGGAGCTGCTGCCAGGGACAGCCCGGCCAGGCTGTCCCAGGATGTCCCCGTGGTGTCCCCATCACGGCACCATCCCAGCGCCACCGGGCGTGGTGGCTGCAGGTGACATGGGGACAGCACTGGGACAGCTCCTGCCACCACAGGGGGATTCCTGCCCCAATTGTCACCCTCGGGATGTCCCCAGGGAAGGGAAGGGAAGGGAAGGGAAGGGAAGGGAAGGGAAGGGAAGGGAAGGGAAGGGAAGGGAAGGGAAGGGAAGTCACAGTGGCAGTTCCGTGGGGGGATGGATGTCCCACTCACATCCCCATCCCCATTTCCCATCCCCATTCCCAGTTCCCGCCTTCGCCAGCAGCCACCCCCCATTCCCAGAGAACACGGGATGATTCATTTGACCCTTTCCCCCTCCTCCTCCTCCTCCTCTCATGCACGGAGCGCCGCTGATTCATCCATCGCCTCTGGGGGATGCTGGCAGCGCTCTGGGCTGGCACAGGGGCCGGGCGCCCTCCCCGCCGGGCACGGGGCCATCCCAGCACGGCCCGGTTGGCACCGGGGATGCTCCGCGATCCCTCCTGGATCGTTCTTCCTCACAGGGAAGCGATTCCATCAAAACCTGAGGGGTTTGGGGCAGAAAAGGAGCATTTGGGAGCATCTCCTTTAGGATCGCTGCTGGGATGCTCCTGCTGTGCCCCCGTGTGTCCCAGCGCTGTCCCTTTCTGGGACACCAGCGTCACTTTTGGCAGGATTATGTAATTCTGGCTGTTTTCTGAGAGTGCTTCAGTGACAGATTTCTGTCTCCTGTCGGTGCCATTGCTGGTTTTATCGCGGCTTTTCTGCTACTGCCCGTCCTGAAATTCTCTCCTGCACTGCCAGGCCCCTCTCCAGGCCAAGGGACAGCACCCCAGGGTCCCCCAAAATCCTCACCCAGCACCCCTGAGCCCCCCAAACCCCACACACAGCATCTCTGTACCCCTGAGTCCTTCCCAGTCCCATATCCAGCACATCAGAGCCTCCAAAACCCCAAATTCCTGGACCCCCACCCAGCATCCCAGCACCCCTGAGCCCCCAAAATCTTCCACCCAGCACCCCTGAGCCCCCCAAAACCCCACATACAGCATCTCTGTACCCCCTTTTTCAGCAGAAAACTCCCTGAGCACCCCTGAGTCCCCCAAAATCCCCCATCCAGCACCCGAGACCCCCAAAATCCCACACCCAGCTCCTCTGAGCCCCCCAAAATCCCACATACAGCACCCCTAACCTTCCCAAAGCCCCCAAATCCCCCACCCAGCCCCTCCAGACCCCCAAAATCCCCTATCCAGCCCTTCTGAGATCCCCAAAATCCCCCCTTCCCCTGTCTGCCCCCCCTATTATCCCCCCACTCTCATCACGTGACCCTCCCCATTCATACCCTTGCTAGCCCCGCCCCTTCTCTCCCTATTGGCTTCCTCCCGCGCACCGCAACCAATCACCGCCCAGCACCGGCTGCGCGCGGAGGGGGCGTCGCCGTGCGGGGCCGGCGCTGATTGGCTCCTCCCCCGGGCGTAGCCCCGCCCATAGCGGAAGCAGGAAGCGGGCGGGCCGGCCGTGACCCGCGGGCGGGCAGCGCCGGCCGCGCCATGACGGGAAAATCGGTGCGGGACGTGGAGCGCTACCAGGCGGTGCTGGCCGGGCTGCTGGCCGAGGACGAGAACAAGTTCTGCGCCGACTGCCAGGCCAAAGGTAGCGCGGATGGGCGCCGGGGCCTGCGGAGCCCGCGCCGCACCGGATGCACCCCCCCCCCCCCCCCCCCTCCATCCAACCGCACCGGCTTCGCCGCTCGGTGCTCCCCGGTGCGGCCGCTCCGCTGAGGATTGGGCGGTCTGGTGGGGATGGTGGGGATGGGTCCCGCGGTGTTGGCGGCAGAAGGGAGCGCTCCGGTGGTGGCGGGAGACAACGGTGCTGGCCAGGCGGTCACGGGGATTGTGCGGGGGAAGAGGCTGAGGCAGCCCGGGGGGATCGGGGGAGAGAGCGGAGGGGTCTGGGGGCAAGAGCGGGGTGGGTTTGGGGGCAAGAACGGGATGGGTTTGGGGCATAAATGGGGTGGGTCTGGGGGCAAGAACGGGGTGGGTCTGGGGGCAAGAATGGGGTGGGTTTGGGGCAGAGAATAGAGGGGTCTGGGGGCAAGAGCGGGGTGGGTTTGGGGGCAAGAGCGGGGTGGGTCTGGGGGCAAGAACGGAGTGGGTTTGGGGCATAAATGGGGTGGGTTTGGGGCAGGAACCGGATGGGTTTGGGGGCAAGAGCGGGGTGGGTTTGGGGCAGAGAACAGGGTGGTTTTTGGGGCGAGAATAGGGTGGATTTAGGGGAAAGAACTCCGAGGTTTGAGAGGGAGAATAGGATGGTTTTGGGAGGAAGAACACGCTGGTTTTGGGTAGAATGGGGTGGGTTTGGGGCAGAGAATAGAGGGGTCTGGGGGCAAGAGCAGAGTGGGTTTGGGGGCAAGAGCGGGGTGGGTTTGGGGCAGAGAACCGGGTGGTTTTAGGGGCGAGAATAGGGTGGATTTAGGGGAAAGAACCCGGTGGTTTTAGGGGAAAGAACTCCGTGGTTTGAGAGGGAGAATAGGATGGTTTTGGGAGAAGGAGCACACTGGTTTTGGCTGGGAGAATGGGGTGATTTTGAGGAAAAGAATTGGATGGGTCTGGGGGCAGAGAACCGGGTGGGTTTGGGGCAGAGAACAGGGTGGTTTTTGGGGCGAGAATAGGGTGGATTTAGGGGAAAGAACTCCGAGGTTTGAGAGGGAGAATAGGATGGTTTTGGGAGGAAGAACACGCTGGTTTTGGGTAGAATGGGGTGGGTTTGGGGCAGAGAAGAGAGTGGCTTTGGGGGCAAGAATAGGATGATTTTAGTGGAAAGAACCCGGTGGTTTTAGAGGAAAGAACTCCGTGGTTTGAGAGGGAGAACAGGGTGAGTTTTGGGACAATAACCCGGTGGTTTTGACAGAAAGAACCCGGTGGCTTTAGGGGAAAGAACTCCGTGGTTTGAGAGGGAGAATAGGATGGGTTTGGGGGAAAGAACCCGGTGGTTTTGGGTGGGAGAATGGGATGGTTTTGGGGGCACAACAGGGTTGTTTTGGGGGAAAGAACCCAGTGGTTTTAGGGGGAAGAACTTCGTGCTTTGGGAAGGAGAACAGGCTGTGTTTGGGGGAGAGAACAAGGTGGTTTTGGGGCAAAGGACACGGTGGTTTGGGGGGAAAGAACTCCGTGGTTTTAGGGCCATAACAGGGTGGTTTGGGGGGAGAGAACACGGTGGTTTTGGGGGCACAACAGGGTGGTTTTGGGGGAGAGAACACGGTGGTTTTGGGTAGAAAACCCTCAGATTTTTGGCCACAGCCCCGCTGGGTTTGGTGCGAGTCTCAGCGGGAGGAGCTGCTGTTCCCAAGGGGAGATGGGGAGGGAGCGGCCCCAAATCTGGAAATTGGGAATTGTGGGAATCCCGGGAACCAGCCCAGAGTGGGTGGGAGCCTCTCCTGAAAGGGGGAAGAAGAAGAAGAAGGACCGGGAAAAGCCGGGGCTGTGCAATTGAGGGAATTCCAGCTGGGGAGTCACATCCTGTCACCTGGGGCTGGAATGCTGTGAGCACAGGGAGGGAGCTGTGACCTCACCTTGGGATCATGGACCACTGATGGAATTCAGATTTCTGTCCTCCTTTCCCACCTGGATTTTCCCTGTGAGGGTGGTGAGGCCTCTGTCACAGGAATCAGTGGCTTCCCCATCCCTGGAATTGTTCAAGGCCAGCCTGGGATAGTGGAAAGGACAGGAGGAGCTTTAATGTCCCTCCCAACCCAAACCATTCCATATTTTCTCATTTTTGTCCTCTTTTCCCACCTGGATTTTCCCTGTGAGGGTGATGAGGCCCTGGCACAGGAATTTGTGGCTTCCCCATCCCTGGAATTGTTCAAGAAAGGGACAGGAGGAGCTTTAAGGTCCTTCCCAGCCCAAACCATTCCATATTTTCTCATTTTTGTCCTCTTTTCCCACCTGGATTTTCCCTGTGAGGGTGAATCTGTCACAGGAATCTGTGGCTTCCCCATTCCTGGAATTCTTCAAGGTCAGCCTGGGATAGTGGAGGAGCTTTCAGGTCCCTCCCAACCCAAACCATTCCATGTTTTTCTCATTCCAAGGTGTGTTATGACCCTGGGCTATCTGAGAGAGGAAATGTTTGAATTCCAAAGGATAAACCAAAGGAATAAAACTGTTCCTTGTCGCCCTGTGGTTGCTGCTTTGTTTTCCCTGCAGCAAAAGAGTTAAAGTTGCCCCAAAATCCTGTTTTAATGAGCTGCCATAATCTCTTGGAGATCTGGACTTGAGCCTCTGTTTCCCAAGAGCTGCTGGAATCGAACTTGGAGGAGGGATTGGCCAAATCCATCAGTAAACAAAGGGCTTGGTCACCTGAGTGTGACCTCCAAAACTGCACAGCCCCCTTGAACAACCTTCAAAATTAGATAATTACTATTTATTTTCACCCCACCTGCTTGGAGCACACCTGGTGGTGGTGGAGATCAGGATGTTCCTCCCCTGTGCCAATCCTTTATCTCCTGGAGGGCAGAAATAGCTCCTTTATCTCAGCTCCCAAGCTTGGGAGAGGGCAAATTCCACCAAAATGGGAAAAAAAAAATTCAACCCCACATCCCAGGGTGATGGAGCTTCTCCTGCTCAGGATTCCAATTAATTAATTATTATCATTTTAATGAAGCTCTGGGGGGGATTTGAGCCTTTCCAGCTCCTGGCTGGGATTGCAGCAATCCTGGAGAGCAGCCTGGGGCTGTCCCCAGCTACCTGATCCACTAATTACCCCCTGCACTAATGAGATTCCTGGAAGAGGGAAATCTGCTCCTCCAGGGCACGTGGGAGCTGCCTCTGCCCACAGTTCCAGGGATTTGCTGCAGTTTTGGGGCAGTTTTGGTGCTTTTGGTGAATGGAGCTGTCTCTGCCAAGAGTTCTAGGGAGAATTGTGCATTTTGGGGGCAGTTTGGGGGCAGTTTTGGTACTTTTGGTGAATGGAGCTGTCCCTGTCCAGAGTTCCAAGGATTTGCAGCAGTTTTGGGGCAGTTTTGGTACTTTTGATCAATGTGGTGCCACAGGAGCTGTCACTGCATGGAGCTCCAAGGAATTCCTGAAGTTTTGGGGCAGTTTTGGTGAATGGAGCTGTCTCTGCCCAGAGCTCCAAGGAATTCCAGCAGTTTTGGGGAATTTTTGGTACTTTTAGTAAATGGAGCTGTCTCTGCATGGAGCTCCAAGGAATTGCTGCAGTTTTGGAGCAGTTTTGGTACTTTTGGTGAACATGGAGCTCCCCCAGCTCCGATCCAAAGAACTCCTGATGTTCCTCATGGAATAACTTCAACATCCCACTCTGCCCATGGAAAGGAGCCCCTTTAGGGCCCTCAGCACTTCCAGGGGTGTCTGGAAGCAAAGCTGGGCAGGGACTGGAGCAAACTGGGACAGTGGGAAATGTGAATTAAATGAGCTTTATTAAGGTCCCTCCCACCCCAGCCAGCGTGAGATTCTGTGAAATCCCAGGGGGGTTTTGCTGCTGCAAGAACTGCTCAGAGTTGTTGTTTTGCAGGAAATTGGGTGAAGTCTCTTCACTCTCTTCCTCTTTTTGTTGCCAACCTCGTGTTTGGGGGAACTGGGAGAGCAGAGCCAGGGCAGGGTGGGTTCTAAATCCTCTCCTTGGAGGTTTTTGCTGTGGGAATCACTTGGAAAAACACCTGGAGAGAGCAGCACTTGGAGGGCAGGTGGGATTTGTGCTGCTGGTGCCATTCCAAGGGTGGTGAGCATCCAGCAGCACATTCCCTGCTTGGAATGTGAGATCCTGGAGCTGGGATGGCTGAGGGAAGGGAGGGATGAGGTGAAATTTTCATTGGGATTTGGAAAATCGACACGGAGCGGATTCATTGCTGCTCCTACAGCTAATTGTGTTTGGTTCTCTCCTTCTCCCAAATTGTTCCCTCTGCTCTCCAGCCCCATCCATGCATCCAGCAGGCTCTGTGGATCCCTTGGAGCAGGAGTTCCCCAGAGGTTCAGGTTGCCCCTGTGCTCCCCCCTGCCCTGTCTGGCTCTTCATCCCCTTTGTCTTGTGACATCCATGGGTTGCAGGCTCTGAAAAAATGTGACATTCTCACTGCAAATTGGTGTTTCCTTCAATGCAGCAGGCCTGAGGTGAAGCTCCACAAACTTCATCAGAGCAGGGTTGGTGCCAGGTGATTTTGCTTTCTGTGGATGTTAAAATCTCTAGGAATTTCAGGTTGCCCCTGTGCTCCCACCCTGGTCTGTGTGGCTCTTCCCTTCATCCCTTTGTCCTGTGAGATCCACGGGTTCCAGGCCTAAATCCATCCCTTGTATCCTGAGGGGTTAGCTGTGAGAAGTGCTGCTGAACGCTTAAATTAAGGTTTAATTCTTCAGCAAAAAAAGGAAAAAAAATGGAGTAGGATTGGGGAAATCCCTGCCCAGAGGTGGGTAAATCTGGGATGGGAATGGGGAAAAGCTTGGGGTGCAGTAGGTGGTATAAGGAGGTTGACTTCTTATTATTATTATTTTATGGGGGAGCTGCTTTAGTCCAGCCTAACTCCGGTTAATCCCAACCAAATATTCCCTGAAAATCTGCGTGACTCAACTCCTCCTCCTCCTCCAGCAGCCTCTTGAGCTGCAGCTGAATTCCCTCTGCAGGCAGAGCAATTCCAAGAG